GACTCTGGGCAGCTTACAAAAGGGCCGCCCAAGCGGCAGACGAGCCTCTCCCGCAGCTCCAGTGGCACAGGCACACTCGCGCACAAGGCTCCCTTCGCCTCAACGGCAGGCCGGGCCGCCCGCCACTCGCACAAATGGCGCTGCCTGTGCTTGCACGCGCCCCTGCTGTTCGCACAAGTTCGTCCCCCTCCCCTGACGGGTCCGCCAAGCCGGAAAGGTTGGGGACCGCTGGCTCGCAGGTTAAAACCCAGCGTGTAAAAACCTCACCCTCAGGATGGCAGCAACAACCCCTTGAAGAGCTCCCTTTGGGGGTTGCCAGGCCTGCTAACAAAAGCATCTTTTTAGGGCCTTTTAGAAGAGCCTTGGAAAGGGTGGGGGCCACCTGTGCCTCCACAAGAAGGATATTCCGTAGAGGAGGGGCCACCACCGAGTAGGCCTTCTTTCGTGGTCTACACCAGGGCTTTTCAACCTTTTCACCCATTGCACCACTTTTAGGATATGGCAGCATCTGAGGACCACCCGTCGCCTAGCAAGGGGTCAAAAAACTTAATGACCCCCCCCCCAAAAAAGTGATGAAGTACAGGTAGTCCTCGACTTACAACAGTTCGCTTAGTGACTGTTTGAAGTTACAATGGCACTGAAAAAAGTGCCCCCCCCAAGCCACAGCCGAGCAAGACACCTGCCTGCCCGCCCGGCCGCGCTCTTCCTCCTGTCCGAGGTTTTCATTGTTGTGGGCATTTCTGTTGAGGATTGGCAGAGGGGGTGGGGTGGGGTGTTTGGTTTTTATTCCCCCCGTCTGCTGGGTGGTTGCAGCAGGTTTTGGTCCCTTCGCATGACCCTGGGACACTGTGACCATCATAAATATGAATCAGTTGCCAAGCATCTGAAGGTAAATCACAAGACCCTGGAGAGGCTGCAACATTCCAGCTGATCGGCGCTTCTTCTGGGCTCAGCAGAAGTGCCAGGATCAGTGCTGAGCTCTAGCTGGATCCTGGCGCTGATCCTGGCGCTTCCGCTGAGCCCTGACAGCCCCAAAGAAGCGCCAATCAGCTGGAAAGCGGCACTGATCCCGGGGCTTCCGCTGAGCCCTGACAGCCCTGCAGCTCCAGCCGTCTCTCGCGCAGCCTTGTGCGGTGCTGCCACCGGGTCAGCTCATTCCCCTCCCCCGCTACCACATTTCTAGGATGGTCACGTACCACCTGCCAGGGGCCCATGGACCACAAGTGGTACCCCTACCACTGGTTGAAAAGTCCTGGTCTACCAGGTGTACATTCCTAATCGATGGGACACCTAAAAGGCCCTGCCTTCCCATCCTGGTGGGCTGGGTAGATTTAGCAAGGGAGAGGGGATCCTTCCTTCAAGTAGCCTGGCCCCGAGCCGTGGGGGGCCTTAGAAGCGGTAACCAGCACCTTGAATTGTGCCTTCTTCGCCTGTCTGTCCCGTCTCCTCTAGAACACGCGTGAGACGGCCCAAGCCATCAAGGGGATGCACATCCGGAAGGCCACCAAGTACTTAAAGGATGTGACTCTGAAGAAGCAGTGCGTTCCCTTCCGGCGTTACAACGGGGGTGTTGGCAGATGTGCACAGGTACGGCTCTGGAAAACGTTGGGACGTGTGTTTGTGCAGGCCTGTGTGAACAATAGCAAGTTCAGGAGGAATTATTATTTCAAGTACTAGTGAGGAGGATATCGCTAAATGACAATTACTGGTATCCTGCTTACAAGTGGAAGCTTTAATGTGTTCACAAAGGCACTTGTAGGAAATGGAGGGTATTTAGTATTTAGGGCAGTGGTTCTCAACCTGTGGGTCGGGACCCCATTTGGGGTCGATCGACCATTTCACGGGAGTCGCCAAGCAAGGCTGTCCACCATTTTTTCCCCCTTTTCCGGGCCCACGGAATGGAGGGAACCCGACCCGGTCGACCAC